ATTCGATATTCGATAAAAGATACGCCTACAGATGTGTTAGATTTTTTAATTAAAATGTGAATATGTGATAATTTCTCGTTTCTCTAATAATATTGCATCGGTGATCAATACGAAATACATATATCGACAGGTGCATCAGAGATAATATTAATCAATGTCGAATGCAAATTGCGATTCGATCTATATTCGATAATATATATTAGGATGTGTCCATCAAATTGCAGCGTATAGAACTGGCGTCTCAATCTCGGCATCTATAAATATAGATATAAGAGTTTTAACAAGGCTCTGTAATATAAATATAAATTTAACGTATAAGACGGGCAACAAGAGCCAAATCGCGGATGACAATGCGTTATCCTAACGAAACTAAATAATTTTCCGTTAGAAATAAATACCGGTGCACACGGCACCAAATTTTTACTTGGACACGGCCAAGATTTTAAATATGAAATAATCTCATATTTTGAGATTTAATTTCAATACCCCTTTAACCCCCCTACGGAAAATAAATAAATGAATGCAAGAGAAAAATATAGATCCGAAAATCGCTGAATCGGGAAACGAACCCGAGACCTTTCGCTTGCCGGGCGACTGCTCTTCCAGCTGAGCTATTCAGATCCTTTCGATTCTATACTTTTCTCTGTTATATATATTAATGTTGGTAAACAAACGCATTTTTTAAGCCAGCGTGTATCAAATATAAGAGTTTTAACAAGGCTCTGTAATATAAATATAAATTTAACGTATAAGACGGGCAACAAGAGCCAAATCGCGGATGACAATGCGTTATCCTAACGAAACTAAATAATTTTTCGTTAGAAATAAATACCGGTGCACAAGGCACCAAATTTTTACTTGGACACGGCCAAGATTTTAAATATGAAATAATCTCATATTTTGAGATTTAATTTCAATACCCCTTTAACCCCCCTACGGAAAATAAATAAATGAATGCAAGAGAAAAATATAGATCCGAAAATCGCTGAATCGGGAATTCAATAAAATTTGGTGCCTTGTGCACCGGTATTTATTTCTAACGAAAAATTATTTAGTTTCGTTAGGATAACGCATTGTCATCCGCGATTTGGCTCTTGTTGCCCGTCTTATACGTTAAATTTATATTTATATTACAGAGCCTTGTTAAAACTCTTATATTTGATACACGCTGGCTTAAAAAATGCGTTTGTTTACCAACATTAATATATATAACAGAGAAAAGTATAGAATCGAAAGGATCTGAATAGCTCAGCTGGAAGAGCAGTCGCCCGGCAAGCGAAAGGTCTCGGGTTCGTTTCCCGATTCAGCGATTTTCGGATCTATATTTTTCTCTTGCATTCATTTATTTATTTTCCGTAGGGGGGTTAAAGGGGTATTGAAATTAAATCTCAAAATATGAGATTATTTCATATTTAAAATCTTGGCCGTGTCCAAGTAAAAATTTGGTGCCTTGTGCACCGGTATTTATTTCTAACGAAAAATTATTTAGTTTCGTTAGGATAACGCATTGTCATCCGCGATTTGGCTCTTGTTGCCCGTCTTATACGTTATATATAAATATAGATATCCGGTTATCTTTATTTTAGTTTATTTCTCTTCTTTTTGCTTTAGAAGACTTCTAGACAGAACTTTGTATTTTTAGAACTCATGTAAAATTATAATTTGTTCAAATCAAAATTTCTAAAATTATTAAAAATAAAGCTCTTAAGTTTTTATGAAATGACGCCAATTTTATACACTCCATTACCGCTATAAAAATGTAATAAAATAAACAATTTTTCACTCACCGACATGTGTAGCAATTGCAGCAAACGAACGGAGTTGTAGTACACAGCATATTGATCTGGAAACAGAATATTCAAATATGTATACATATGTATGTGTGGGTATGTATGTGTGTACAGAGTGTTTTGAAGCTCAAACAATGCAGTTTAAAAAAAAACATTTTTATTTTGCATACCTCATGGTTGTCTCGCTGTTGCCCGATGCCTTTCCGGGTCTCCTCCTCCTCTCGTAGTAGTACACACGACACTCGCGACTATACGAATAATAATAATTACGATCGCCCGACGCGCGACACTTTACACGGCACTCCCGATACGACGCATGAATCGCACGAATATTTCGGGTATAAAGAAAAAAAAACAATGCAAAAACTACTGTCACATGAAACAACAATCCTTTCGGCACTCGAGGATCTTGCAGTCGAACTCGTGCGCAGCTGACCTGTAAGGCGCTTACCTGTAAGAACAAATAAAATACAAATATATATATATATATATATATATATATATATATATAGAGAGAGAGAGAGATATCTAAACAAATATAACAAAAATGGTGTATTTCTTAAAAGAAATGTTATATATTTATTTTGCATATCTTATAGATGCCTCGCTCTCGCCCGATGCCTGTTTCCGGGCCTCTTTCTCCTCTTTAATTTGGTCCTTCGTAGCACTCGCGATACTCCCGAAAACGCGAATAATTATAATTACTCGACACGCGAAATTTCGGCACTCCCAAAACGTGACACTTTACACGGCACTCCCAAACTCCCGAAACGCGACACTTTACACGGCACTCCCGAACTCCCGAAACGCGACACTTTACACGGCACTCCCGAACTCCCGAAACGCGACACTACACGGCACTCCCGACACGACGCGTGCATTTTACAATGAGAAAAAAACGATGCGAAAACTAATCGGACAAAGCAACGTTGCTACCTGTAACAAATAAAATACACACATATATACATATATAATTGTATTATAATTATTGTATTATAATTAAAATTCGAAAGCAAGAATAATCAATTCTTTCAATTAAATTATTTGCATCAAAAGATTCTCAGTGATAAATGTCGAGATATGATTTCAGAATCTCTTCACGAAAGAAGTCAAAAATGGCATTTTGATTACTTTATCGAATTCGAATAACATATTCCTTATTTGGTTTGCCAACAACGCACAATTGAGTTTCACTTGCCTAGAAAAGTTGATGCGTCCGCAAAGTTAAATATTCTTTTCTCCCATTTCAGTCACAAACAAGTTGTACAATTTGTTTATTGAATGATTTAAACTTTTCGCCATTAAATTGTCTGATATCATAAGACGAGAAAAAGGATGAATATGTCACACTCTTGTCACAAAATACGAAATAATTCGAGAAGATCGACGTCGATTGTACACAGAGTGATTTTTTCAATTTACATCTCTAGCAAACCAATTTTGTTGCACTAACTCGTGGAGATTGAAAAGTCATAAACTGCAAAATCGAATTGCCATTCCCATCCTCTCTCTTGCATTCGTATAAGAGTTACGAAACTATTAAAACAATGGACGAATTTGAACGAGAGTGAACCTAAAAATTTAACATACAACGATACAATGTGAATTACACTTCTATACCATATTTAGGAAAAAATATGATTTTTTAAATAATTTTCTTATTTTATAATTTTTATAATTTTTACAATTTTTATAATTCAAAATTTTTATAATTCAAACGTGTCGAATAAAAAATGCGTGTATAATTAATTAAATACAAGTTTTTAAAATTATAAAATGTATTTTGGATTTCTTTGACCATATATTATTAAAAGTTTAAGTATTATATTCCGATATCTTTATTTCTAATGCTGCGTATCCTGCGTAATATTAGTTAATGAATTTATCCGGAAATCTCGGTTCGTTCTGAACCTAATTAAATCTGGCTAACAGCCCAAACTGACATAGGTCAATGTCAGATTCTAAGAACACGCATATAGTAAACAGTAATAGCATTGTATAATTAAAAAAAAATATTGAGAAAAGAGAAATAAAATATAAAGAAAAATAATAAAACATCAAAAAGATACGCGATATTATGAAAATGTCCTGACGTCCTCAATTTGCACAAAATTTGCATGTATCAAACTATTTTTTTTTAAATTTGTTTCATATAATTATAGGAAAAAACTCGTATTTTTTTAAATCTAAAAGAAATTTATGTTAGAAATTCTAACTAAAAACAATTCTATTATTAAAATAATATAATTACAATGTTTGCTCTTGTCAATATTATAATTAAACTCGGTGTTCCAAAAATAAAACTGTAGAATTAAATAAATAAAATAACGTAAGAAAATTATTTTGAAAATTATAGACAAATGTGTGCCTAAACAAATATGACAAAATTGAAATGATCGACGGGAATTTGCGTTTTTAACTATCCTAAACTTAGCAATCTCCAATGAGTCGTTTATTATGATAATGAAGCGATTCCACAACCCAAAATTATTTTTAGCTGTTAGGTCAGTAGTTCGATTTAACATCGAAGCTTTATCTGATTGGCTGGTAAGGATTAACATACATATATCGAGGTTAAAGGTAGAGTTGCCAGATGATTTTTTAAACGTACTAGCTCTCGGTAATCCACTGCAATCCTCTAAAAGGATGCAATGCCAAACTGCTATATGTTCGATTCGCTCTGCAACGTATAACCGTTTTCATGTTCGCGAATAGTTCGTCATGTGCGGGCGAACCATTCGCTATAACATGCGATGGACATACGTCATATAAAGATATTATCAAATATGACGTGAAAGAGAAAGAGAGAAACAGGGAAAAGAGAGAATTCTCCCCCAGATGAAATCATGTCTACATATGAATTAAATAACATTAGTTTTACTGCATTATTTATAGAGAAAGAAAAATAAGCAAAGAATACACAATTATCGTATATAAAAATTTGTTATTAGAGTAATTCAGAAAAGAAATAAAAATCTGAACTTTTATTTAAATAAATTAACATATAAACATAAAATTATATCCAAAAATATATATGCAATATATTATATCCGATATTATAAAATTTGCTTTGCTAAAGTATGAAAAATTATAATGTTTACTACTATATTTATTTATTCATGATAATTTTTAAGATTAATTATATTTTTTCAATTAAATAAAAGTTTAAACGTTCACTCAATACGTGAGCGTGTTAATTGTTTAGCGAAGATACAGTCGTGAAAGTGTCCTAAATAAGAATCTTTTTATAGCGAGTTCGATTCGATGTGATTGGCGATGATCTATTAACATTGATTGTAGGTGTGTATCTGTTAGTGTGTATCGCTCTGCTAATTAATTTGCTTCGGCTCAGTACAAGTCTTTCGTTTGGGCAGTGAGTTACTATTAAAAGAACTCGTTAATTATATTGTGATTAATTTTACAGTCTCATTAAAACAGTAAACCGATATGGTAATTATCACGTATACATATATAGAGTTAACTTACATATTTAATAAATTGTAATTTTACGCGATGATTTTACAATGTCTCTTCCGCGAATTTTTAATAATTTATATTTTTAATTAATAACATTTTTCGATATTGTAGGATGAAATTCAGCTTAGTAAAGATCAAATATCCCGTAAGTGCATTTGTATATTAAAGCGTAAGTTAATATAGTCGTGATATAAATACTTCAAATATATAACGTGATATAATACGTAATATAATTTGAATTATTAGCAATTGCAAGTGTATGAAAATATTCGGTATCTAAAAAATGAGAAACAATTTTTCTGAATAGATTTGAAAATGGCATTCGACGCGTTCGATCCGGAGAAAAAAGGAGCTATCGGTACGGATAAGGTAGGCACAATTCTTGAGATGCTTGGTCAGGAGGTGAACTCAAATGAACTCGCAGCACTTATATTAGAAGTTGATATGTGGGGTAAGTATGATATTATACTGAGAATGTGTGTGACAAAAATTTATTAAAAGAGAATTTAATTGTATTCGTCACAGTCATGCATATTTGAAATATTCTCTACCATTCTATACAATAGATTCTAATTTATCTGTTTCAAACAAAAATAAATTCTTTTACATAATGTGTGAGAAAGTTCTTGCAGAAAAGTTCCGGAAAATTATTTGTCAAATAAATAAGGAATTCGCGAAAGTGCAACCAAATAAAAGGATTAATTGAAGTAAATCCTATATTCATATTCGTTTCTAGGAACCGGTGAAATAAAATTCGAGGAGTTTTGCCAGGTAGCGTCGCATTTTCTCGAGGAGGATACTGACACCGAAGCGATACAACAAGAGTTACGAGAGGCATTCCGATTATACGACAAAGAAGGTAACGGTTATATCACCACCGATGTGTTCAGAGATATCCTTCATGAACTGGACGACGCGCTATCTCCGGACGAACTTGATATGATCATAGACGAAGTGGACATTGACGGATCTGGCACACTCGATTTCGATGGTGAGAGATTTTGTGTGACGCACAGGTGCTAGTCCACTTCGTCTTCGCATACCTGACTATAACCCGGCGTTTATGTTACAGAATTCATGGAGGTCATGACAGGATAAGTTATTACTTTGGCACCGCGCGGATGCGTCGTGTCTATCGCCCACGCTTTAGACAACGAGTGTGCCTGTATAAACAGAGAGAAGTCGAAAACTCCTCGAAATTGTACATATGTGATGCTGGCAGAATATAATGTCATGTGCTTACCACATAAAAATTCTCGCCTATTTTAAGTTTCACGTATTTTTTTTTTATTATATAAAATTTATATATTTTGTTAAATAAAATACGTGATTTGAAATTTAATGGTGACTATAAAATTTTTAAAATTTCTTAATAAAATATAATAGATTTACTATATGTAACTATATGTTAAACATAAATTGGAAAAAAGTCTTATCTTTCAAATAAGTAAATAATGCTTAGATTATATGAATCTTGAAAAAATTCATAGTTTGTCAAAAGTCGTAATTAAATTATTATATATTTTGCCTGTGTGATGTATAATATTATGTATATTAATATATGTATATATATATTTAAGTTTAAATGAGTTTAAATAAAAAATACATGCCAAAAATAAAACTAACAAATCGATTATGTTATAAAATTGTATGTATATAAAAAAGTCGCAAGCGAGTGAGTATAATTTCAATGAATTCCAATCAAACTTTAATCCATGGAATATTGATCATTGTTTTTTTTTTAAATTTTAAACATATAATTTAAATGAGAAACTTTATATTACATTTACTGTTTGTTAAAATCTGCTATAACAAAATTCATCGATAATTAAGAGGAACACGAGAAAATATGATTTTATTTTATATCTATTATAAATTTTGATATTTTAATCGCGCGCAGTTAAAATTTTGATAGAGCAGTGTATAAAGGAATCAATATCTTACATTTTTATATGCTGTTAATTAATGGCTGAAAAAATGCACATTTGTTCTCTGCAATTCTACGTAATTTTTCGCTATATTATAGCCAGCCATAATTATAGTTTCAATCAATACAATATGTCGCGCCTGAAAATACACGCTCGCGTGTTGGCAACTAGAGTGACACGTGCTTTGCACGCATCAACCGCAACGTTACACGCGCAAGCCTGTAACAGTAATGTAATCTATTGTGAACTTTTGTCGAAAGAGTAGCATACTCCAAAGAGCTCGACAATGCACGGAGCTGCAAACGGCTGTATTCCGGAATGAACGATAAAATCGCCTAAATATAATAGCAGCCACCGGGCTTTATGAGCTTATAATTAGGCAGCTAAGAATAAGATCTGTGCACGGTTATTATATAGAGCCGTCTTGGGTCAGCCTCACCCATGAATTCTCCGGCGGTGAGCCAATACTGTCTATTGTTGCATCCATGCAAACGATCACACATCGTGTCGCTCGTAAATTTTGGCGTTCGGAAACCGTGCAAAATTTCACAATGAACCGCTTGTGAAATGTCGCCTATAGCGATACGAGTTTCAATCATAAAATATTTCCACGACGGCCTAGTTAAAAGATGAAATTTTATCGGTATTCAAAAAGATATGTTAGGGATGCGATAAAAGTTATCGCGACATAATTTGTGCCGTATTCTTCAATAAAAATATAATTAAAAAAAAATTTATTTTATGTAGTCTAAAAGCTAATATATTCTGATTATATTAAGTAAATAATTACCTTATGTAATATATATATATATAGAGTTTCATATATACATATGCATTTTAATTTATTATTTGTCTTCCATGATATAATGCACCATAAAATAAATTATATATTATATGTCACATAATACATTACGTGGAAACGATTTTTTGTCAACTGTACATTTAGATTCACAATAAATTATACCGTAATAGATGTGTGTACACACACATATGAATATTATTGTATTAAATTATATTTATATAAAAAAATGTATACATATATCGAATATATGTATAATTGTAAAGTAAAAAAATTATTTTATACATTTAATTTGTAAAATTATCTGTGAAATATAAAGAAATTAAAAAAATGTGTCTTATCTGTATATAGTCCTCCCCCAAATCAAACATAGCTTCAATACTCCTACGTTACAATGTACATGTACATTGCATATCGAGCATTTTTGTAAAATCATAGATCAAGATCTCATTAATAATTCTAGTATAATTTTATTATACTAGAATTTTATTAACTAACATGCAAATGAATTAATCTTGTCGTTACATCAAATTTCTACGGTTTTGTTATAAATAAGTAAAATAAACTTTTACATAATTAATGAAGTTGGATGTAATACGTGTCACAGTTAATTATTCGCATCAAGACGAATCGCGTGCAATATGCTCGCATTAATTATGCCACTGTGAGAACGTCAGAATATTTGGCCGTTTTGACAAATCGAATGTACAACTGCCAGTGGCATGGATAATTTTCGAAATTAAATGCGTTGCCATGAGTTCTGCAGAATTAGGTAAAATGCGTCTATGGAAATAGAGTGGGAGAAGCGTCCTCGATGAATTTGAAAACCGCTAGATTCGCATGTGTATTACCTGGTCAATCACGTGCCAGAATATCATCATTATGATCACTTAAAACAGAAGTCTACGGCCAGAATCTGGTGCATACCCGGTTAAACCGTCGACGCCAACGTATCACAAGCAGCGCGTATAGTTAGCATTACTATGGCAAGTCGTATAATTTTGATAAACGCGAATCTTATTCAAATTGCAAAGTTCTTGCGCGACTAAAAGTGTTAAAAAATTAGATATTCGAGCAAAAAGTTCATATAACATTTAATATAATTGAATACTAAAATTAAATTTTAAAAAACGATAATTATTAGAAATCAAATTTAAATTATACATATAACAATAAATTATTAAATAGAAATTATAAAGACTCAAAGAAAATTAATACTTTTTATAAATTTATTGTTAATAAATTCTTTCATTAGTGTGATTTTAAATACTAATTAATTTCTTTGGACAGTTATGGGAATAATAATTATATTTTTCATGGTTGCAGGATGATTTAAATAAGGACCAATTAGCTTGTAAGTACCTCATTTTATCGTAATAAAAATTCAATATCATATTATAAACTATCTTTTTTTTAAATAGTGTTGAAGAAAGCCTTCGACGCTTTCGATCATGAAAAGAAGGGTAGCATCGGCTCCAACATGGTGGGCACGATATTAACTATGTTAGGTCATGAACTGAGTGAAAACACGTTGCAAGAAATTATTAGCGAGATAGACGAGGATGGTAAGTAAAATTATATCGCAGTTACGTTTTTCTTTACATGCTTGACATTCTTATATTTTTCTTATATGATTTTGACAGGCTCCGGTGAACTCGAATTCGAAGAGTTCTGTACGTTGGCTGCTAGATTCTTAGTAGAGGAGGACACGGAGGCGATGCAACAAGAATTACGCGAAGCATTCCGATTGTACGACAAAGAAGGCAACGGCTATATAACTACTGACGTGTTCCGAGATATTCTTCACGAGCTTGATGACAAACTGTCACCGGAAGAACTCGACCTGATGATCGAGGAAATTGATGCTGATGGATCGGGAACTCTCGACTTTGACGGTATTTTTGAAATTGCCCGTACACACTTTCATTTCGTTTTTCTTTATTTATTAACTCTGAATAAGTAAAACTAATGTGTATTGTTCGTACACAACCTTTGAGAAATTAATATTTAAATTAATTTTGAAAATGCTTATTTTACAATTCAGTATTTTAAAAATTAACAAAATAAACTTCAAATTTATTTAATAAAATATATCTTTTTAATTATTTGTAACGTAATAAAATACTACTAATATTAAATTATAGAAAGGGCTTTTTACTAAATTTGACATTATGCTCAAGAAACATGCAATATTAAAGTATAATATCGTTAAAAATGTCATGTACGTGCCAGGAATCTATTTAAAATAATATGCTTGAGAACACAAGAGCCGCATGTAACAACTGTAATTTTTGAGATAAGATAACATGTGACATGCTTTGAAAGCCAAGTAGTTCATTTAAAATCTGCTCAAGTTACAAAGCCCTGAGCCAAGAAAATTCGTTTCGCGCACGTCAACGTCAGGAAAGCTTAACATAACCGACACTAATAGCAAAGTCGATCGAACATTCAATAAGTCTGTTGCCTTGGGTGGTTCGCCAAGTTTACAGTCCGCGGAAATTATGAGGCGCCGTTTGATTATACTAACGCCCACTGCATTTCACGTGCTTTCAGAGTTCATGGAAGTCATGACGGGAGGTGACGATTAAGACGCGCTGATGATGAAAATGAACCAAAGGCCGGGATTTTAGCACAATTGGCAACGCCTGTCAGAAAGAGAGAAGGCGTTTTGTCTTCATCAACTAGCACACACGTTTTTGCAAACTAAACTATAGACGTACGGAAAATTGGACATTCGCGACAATCCGTGGCTGACAATCGGCGGCTTTCATCATGCAAGATGAAGACTACATTTCAAATGTTTTCGATCAACGCCAAAAGCAAGATAAAGATAAAATTTCAATTGGAACAGCCCGAACGAGTTGACGCGAATAAAATAGCGGTGCAAATCTCTTTGTCATATAGCAAAATGAATACACGCGCAAAGTTCTCACGCAACTATTTCTAATTGCTGATATATAGCGAGGTAAGCCATTATTTCCTACTGTACAAATATAATTTTGTTTCGAGAGTTTACGCGCGAAAGCATCGAGAGTTTCAGTAATTATATAAATCATACGTCGTAAATTAATTAAGTTTCACGTGCCTACGTAGATACCGTGCGTGCTCTTTCTATGCGCTGCGCCTAAACGATATTATCCCCTTTGCAAAGTAGCATACCACGTTCAAGTATGTAAGGCGCGTTATATTAATTTCCTTCGTGTAATTCAATCCATTAATAAATTGCGTTCTTATTAATTTTTTAATTTTTCAAGAAAATCGACAAAATTGTAATCATATATGTAATTACAATTCAATACTTAGGAACTCAGATAATTCGATAATTAAATTTAGAAATTGTAACTCTTCTAATACTGTCAGATCAATTATTTAGTAAGAAGTTCAGAAATTCGATGCTTCTCTAATTAAAAATATGAAAATGTTTTATTCATCTGATGTTATCGTTTGCAAGATGTGCTATAAAAAATAAATATATTTTTCTACTAAAATTTCCTAAATAATTCTCCTATCTTAAAAAATATTGTGTTATTTAGTAATAATGTGAATTAAATATCTCAGCACCGTAATATTTAATAAAATATTTTAAGATTATATAGCTTATTCATTTATACACCTATCCCTGTATTAAAATCTGTAAGGACTAAAACAAATGTCAGCGGTCATTGACACCGATTGCTAGTTGTACAACTAGTGGCATTTCCGTTCTAAAATTGAACCATAATAAGTATAGCGATAAATGTCGTGGCTCGTGCAACTATGTGCTGTGAGACCTTACCAAATCAGGTATCTTTGAAATGTTCCGTCACGAAATTATTCTCGCGATTCTCACGTCGCCGCGAACTAATCTATTTCGCGAAGCTTAACAATCTCGCTCATTGTGCATAGAACATAGAATCTCGCTTAGGTCACAATTATTTGTTGGAGTCAATAAAAACAGAAATGTCGTAACTTCATCTCTTGACGGTCTGATCGCTTTAAAAGGAAACAGAAAGACAAGGCCGAAGAGTAGTATATAATTTTGACATATAATAAAATTAACACTATAAAATTATTAGATAATTTAAAAGACATGCATCAAGAAAGTGTGCAAATGATACACATTCGTCAAAAGTTCCGGAAACATTCCGAACTTTCATCGAACATTATCATTGTTCGATAAAAGTAAGACGATTATTGTAGATGTTTGTGACAATTTTTGATACATCAATACGACTTGAGTGTAAAAAATGTTTAAGAGATAAATATGTAGCTAATTTAAAAGTGAATTGTATCAGATAAATTGTATCAAAAAATTTATCGCTGATAATTCGCGTTTATTTGAAGATCAACATCCAAAATCACCTATTTTTTTTGACATTTTCTGCGCGACATTAATTCATCAAAAATTTTGCTGCTATTATTTGCACGATAAAAAATGCGATTAAATTTAATTTTTAATACGCATAAACGAAAAACTATTTTTTTTCTTTTCTTATATTTCACTCATTCCAGTTATATGTGTACATATAATCTGCGAGGAAATATATTTCTAATTCTTTATTTCACATAAGATATATAGTCGCAAAGATGATCCATACAAATTTTACACAAACTTTCAATGGCCTGTTTAACATGTTTGATACGTTATTTTTGACAGTGATACAAGTTTCATAGCGCGTCTTAAATCGTATTCGACATTGTACGGATCGATGCACAGTTATATCACAGAGATGTGATGTATGTATGGTGCATGCAACCTAAATATGGAAAGCAACTACTCTTTTGTAATAACGTTATCTTTCTGTTTCCTTTTACAAAGAATAAAATTATTTGATAAAATACGTTATTATTACGTTATTATATATACGTAATATCGATATATAACGCGTTGCTAAATTTGTTTGCTAAATTTCGCTTTCTCTATCACTACACATATAAAATTATTTTTTATATACACAAACGTTTTAATATAAAAATTAGAAATAATTTTCTACAATTAAGAAACAATTTACATAAATTGTAAAAATTACAATTCATGCTCAAATATTTTCATTTTAAGTATAAGTAATTTACAAACAAATGTCAAATAATAAAATTTTCTGTAAAATTTGATTCTATCAAACCTAGTAATTAGTTATTATAAGAATTTATAAAAGATAAATTTTTGTTTATCAAAGAAATATAAAATATTTCTACGTAAGATATAATAATAAAGTTTTGCATTATATTTGTCGCTCGCACATAATGTACGATTCGAATTAAAGGGAGACTCGTTCAGTAACAAATAATAAGTTATAACTTATTTTATATATTATGTTATTTTCTTTATATACATAAGCTTCTTCTAATAAAATATTGATATAACTGTTATGATATAAATTTTAATGATAGATTCTACTTTAAATATATCGTATGCACTGAATTTTAAAATAAAACGTGATTAAAAATAAAGTAACATTTAGATTTTTCACGAATAAACATTTTTCTCGTTTAGATATAGAAAAATTTCCAAACAGAGTTTCACAAAAATGTTTATCGGAAAATACAATATTATAATCAAATTAATCTGAATTGAAATAAAAAGTTAATGATTTTTTTGTAATGTATAATTTGTAATAAAGATATAAAAAAAGCTTCCTATATATTCTTAAATTCCTGTTTTTCATATTTAATTGCCTAAACTTTCTTTAAAACATAAAATTGCGGAAGTCTTTCGGGAAAAGTAAAAACTTTAATTAATTATATCGAAATTCTGAAAATATAATGCTAACTTTATAAAGAAATGATATAACGTACGCATACTGCACGTATGTATACTTCATCGTGTCGAGTTCAACGATTCGTTATGGTTATGCGCAATGGTCTCAAGAGACAAACCATAGCTCTGAGAAGTGCACTAGTACCGAAGCTCGTTTAATTACACGCTCACGTCGTTTAACAAAACTTTCTCCGCCAATTAAGTCGAGTTACCAATTGCTAATTTGATAACTAATATGCAGAATCTTAATCGACGCTTCCCAAATATATATTACGATATATTACGCATATGTGTCCTTTTACAAATAAAAAAAAGATATGCAAGATATCCGGTTGACAGGTATGTTGGATTTTTTGTGCTTTCCTTTATGGTCAACCGAAAAAAATATACGCAATGTAGAATCGATTCTATGCATCTTATGCATCCTATGCACATAGTTTGCGTAAATGATTTTAAATTTTACTGTATTTTTGTAAATAACAAAACACGGATATAACTGTATTGTATAATATTACACGCGAGGTTCGTCTGACTCGACACATTTAGATCCGATTGTTAATCTCGGTCTATGAAAGAGAAAGTGGGTGAAGGCTAGAACGAACGATTTGCTACAATTACTTGCAGTCTCCTTCGCGCGTATTGCACTTTGCCAACGAAACAAGTCCCGCTGCGAGAAAGTACAAGTGCCTAAAACACGATCGACCGAGAAAAATCTGATGCACGCGCACCCTCGCCAATTCGTAGCAAACAAAACCATTTGTTTAAATTTGGAGAACTATAGATAGTTAGATATGGTAATATTTGATCTAATTATATTTTTGTGTTTCCCAAAGAAGAAAATAGAAATATTAAATAAGATAGACATTTTTTCGAATGCTGAAGCTCGATTTTAATTTTGCCATAAAAATATAAAAATTTCAAGAGTATATCTTTCTTTTTTTCTCTTTCTATTAATGATTAATTTGCATTGTCGATTGCACATAAAAATTAAAGCACAAATACAACCTATAGCATCAGAAAAGTTCATAGTTCAAAAATGCGTGATGTGTTTGCTTGCAAAATATTATATGTAAAATGATTTTTCTATTTCAATAAGTTAAAATGTTAATATATTGCATGTAACTAAAAAAATGTTGGAATATTCTATATATAATTTATATAATATAAGTATATTATATAAATATATTTATAATATAAAAATCATAATAATAAAACAATAAAAATACAAATCAACGCTCGTGTAAAATTTAAAATTAATAAAACATAAAAAGTAGGCCAAATATACGAGCCGAAATAATTTAGAGATGTAAGAATAATTAAAAATTGTATTCATAATATAAAAGTTACTTTTATATTATGAATAAAATTTTTAATTATTCTTAGATCTAAATCATTTCGGCTCGTATATTTGGCCTACTTTTCATAATAATAAAACTACTAATTTATAATTGTTTTTGCTTTGAACTTTATTCCAATTATAATATATATAATTACTACGGCTGTGTTAATAAAAACGATTGGTTTTGTTTAATATTGTTAAATATTAGTTTTATGAAGAAAAGTGTTTAATTAACATTTTTTTGTGATAAAATATGCATAACTTAATTTATGTATGCATTGCTACTCGAAGCTATACTCGCAGTCGCGAGGCTCGTAATTATAGTCAATTATATATTATCAGCTAATAAATATAAATATGCTGTTTATAGCATATTATTGGTTGCATTCCGTTAATGATACGGCCTTGCTCACGTTTCTTTGAAATTTCTTTTAGAATTGTTTGCGAATGATTATCGTAACGATCGAATAAATCCGATTAAATCAGATTTATTTTCGAGAAATTTTTAGATTAAAATGTTCAATTTAATTATTTTTCTCTACCCTTTTATTTTATCTTAATCGGTGCTCTTAAGATCATTATCTAAGGTCGGGATTAAATATTCCAAACTATCAAATACAATTATTATAAAGTCTGCGATTAAATATCTTATGCAAACAGTAGCAGATCAGCATGATTTATTGCACTGCAATTTTCAATCCCGATATTCATCGATATCATCGAACTAGTAATTTAAGGATTATAATATACAAGTCATTTAATTGATTTTCACAGTTCTCTTCGTGTGAAGATGCACAAAATAAAAAAATTTTGTTTTACATCATATAATAACACTTATTCACATATATATTTATTCATTTCTGCGCTATAGTTATTTTATCAATTAGAACAATTTTCTCATTATAACCAAAATTGATCATAATTATTTCTCGATTGTATTGTTATCTAGTCGGCATCGTATATAAACTCTGTATTCGAAGGTAACACAAATTTTCGCAGTTAATTGGTGCAGTAACCAAAATCTCCTTAGGCGCTTTCTAAGGAAAATACCGTATACCTTTTGTGGAACAAATTACAAGATCATGCGTCTGATCGAAGTTAAGTCGATCACGTTTCCTATAAATGTTTTATGGCGCGGTTTTCGAGCCAGGAATGGATAGGAACGTCTTGTTATGGCTGAGCTCATGACCGCCAGGGGAATAGCCAAGTAACACCTCAACTTTTTATACTGTAGGTTTTTATAAAATGTTGGGAGACACAATCATTATTAATAAAAGTAGTATAAAAAAGAGTATAATGACGTTTTTGAAGAATAGTTTATATGCTCATGCTTTACAAATGCGTTGCTTTTGCTTAATTAAAAATAAAATATATTGACTCTGTATATTTTTAGTATAATGACATTTATAAGT